GCGGCACAGTGGGAGCCTATGCCAAGAAACACCTTGCTTGCCTCCAGGGTGCCCTGGGTTTCTTGGGCTTCGATGGCTTAGCTATGGAGAGCGTGGCGTTCCCACCAAAAATCGATGGACGTCCCGGGGTCTCAGGGTTGGGTTGCTTGTGGAAGGCTTCTTGCGGTCGGGCCCCCACGGTATGTGTACCCCCTCTTGGGTCATCCAAAAGGGTACCCCCCCCCTTGGGCACCCCCTTCTTGGGTCACCCGAAAGGGTACCCCTATCTTGGCACGGGTACCCCCTATTGGGCACCCCTTCTCTCGGCATCGCTCGGACGTGCGCATGTTTCCTTCGGCGAGGACCATCGAGGAGCATTCTTGATCATTTGGCGAAAAAAACCCACACACACACACACACACACACACACACACACGAAACCGAAAAACACACTGGGAATGGACGTCCGAGCGATGGCCAGTTGGGTCACCCGAAAGGGTACCCCTATCTTGGCACGGGTACCCCCTATTGGGTACCCCTTCTTTGGTCACCCTGAGTTCTGTTGTTCTTCGGCTGCCGTTGCCCCTCGACTTGTGAAGGCCGCTGTCGGGCACGGTGGCCAGGGAGCCCTGGCGCCTCGGCCTCGCCTCGGAGGGCGGCGGCGCCCTCGAGGCCCACGGCTGGAAGCTGCGCCCCGTGCCCTCGGGCAGCATCGCGGTGCCCAAGGCCCCTCCTCCTCCTTCTCCGCCTCCTCCTCCTCCTCCTCCTCCTCGTCCTCCTCCTTCTCCGTCCTCCTCCTCCTCCTCCTCCTCCTCCTCCTCCTCCTCCTCCTCCTCCTCCTCCGCCTTCTCATGCCCCTCCTTCTCCTTACTCCTCCCTCCTCCTTCTCCGCCGCCTCCTCCTCCTCCTCCGCCTTCTCATGCCCCTCCTTCTCCTTACTCCTCCCTCCTTCTTCTCTCCTCTGCGCTACGCGCGGGCCGTCGAAAGTTTCTGTGTACGCCGTAGTTTTCCGATGCGAGCAGTGGCGAAGCGTCTTGGCTTGCCTCTTGCCAGTACGATCGACAACGGTACGGAGAGAAGCAGCTTTTCTTGCGCATCTTGAGCAAGACTCGCCGTCCGCGCCACCGAGGGCGCCGCCCATCTGAGGCAGAAGGCCTGCCCGACAGCGGCCGTGGTCGGCTTCGGACAACCTGTGATGTTGGGCATCGTAACCTGTTTTGCGTACCCACTTTCGCGTTCAAGTTACAGGCCCACCACATAGATTGGTCTGAGATCCTTTGTGTGGTTTGCACGGCACGCTCTTAGAACCTATCTGGCCGAGACGGCCTCATCTCAAACAATCGGTTCCACGTTCTAAGAACAGCGCCTTTGCTCCCAGAACATGCTTTTGTTCTACGACCATGTCGTGGTAGGCCTGTAGGACTGCCAGGACGGTCGGTCCCTGCTCAAAGGATCGCGCTGAATCGCCGATGCATCTTGGAGCGGGCTGGGGGGTCTGAGGTGACCCATCACTGGTTGTGGGCAGCATGACGGGGGGGAGTTTGTTTGTTTGCTTCTTTCGGCCTCCAGAGACCGATTCTGAGCGGAGGCTGATGTTCTCCACGCCGACATCACCGATGCAGCGCCGACGCATCGGCGATGCATCGGCGATGCATCGGCGACGCGGCGCGAGCCTCTGACCCCGCCGACGCACCACCGCCAACGTTGCCGATGCACCGCCGATGCGTCGGCCCAAAATATCCGACGTCTTGATTTTGTCGAGACGCGGGCCCCCGACCTCTCGATCACTTCCCCAGGCGCGGCGCTCCATCCCGAGTCCATGTTTAACGGTCCCGAGGCCCGGTAGAAGGGCCCCGAGAGGCCGAAAATTATGAAAACCTCCCTCTCGATTTTCTTTCGACGAGACGCCAGATGTCTGGAGCTGTGCATCCGGTGATGCATGCGGCGAGGCGTCGGCGAGGCGTCGGCGCAGCGCGGGCGACACCTCGGCGGTGCTTCCGACCCCGGGCTGCTGGGGACCCCCTGATGCGGGAGCCCTGAGACGGGGGGCAGTCCAAACGGGGGTCCTCCTCCTCCTCCTCCCCCTCCTCCTCCTCCTCATCCTCCTCATCCTCCTCCTCCTCCTCCTCCTCCTCCTCCTCCTCCTCCTCCTCCTCCTCCTCCTCCTCCTCCTCCTCCTCCTCCATCCCCTCCCCCCCCTCCCCTCCCTCCTCCTCCTCCTCCTCCTCCTCCTCCTCCCCTCCTCCCCTCCTCTCCTCCTCCTCTTCCTCCTCCTCCTCCTCCTCCTTCTCCTCCTCCTCCTCCTCCTCCTCCTCCTCCTCCTCCCCCTCCTCCCCGCCCTCCTCTTCTTTTTCTGTTGTGGATGGCCCCGGGGCCCCGCGAGGGCCCTCGGAGCGATGCGGGGGGCCTCTGCGAGGGCAAGCTCGAGAGGCTCGTCGCCACGGGCGTCGAGCAGGCGCAGGCCGCCGTGGCGCTGTACCGGACCTGGGAGGACGAGGGCGCAGCGGCCGCGCTGCTAGCCCCGGGGGTGCGTAGGGTTAGGTCGGGCATGTCCCTCGACAGGAGGAATAGGCAATAATAAAATTATATATACATATGTACATATATATATATATATGCATAGAGATATATGTATATATCAGCTATTTGAAAAAATTGCAAGCGCGATGTTTGACCCTGGGGGGGGAGGGGGGAGGAAGGGGGAGGAGGACAGCCAAGTGTCTCACACGCCTTTTCACTCCCGGCAAGCAGGGGTCGACGGATCCGGCCCCCCCGTGGGATATTACAATGCACGCAGGATTCTACCCCGTCGCTCATTGAGGATTCGGGTTCATACGAGCCCAGGAAGGCCGTTGTCGCCCCCCCCCTCGTCCCTGTCAAATCACACTATGCGAGCACACTTGTTTGTAAAAACCCTTGTTCCCAAAAATGTGGCAATGTCGACACGCGCTCGTCGTGGCGCGCGCGCGCATGCCGGAATTATTCGAAAAACCTTCGGCAATGGGCTCAAGAGACGGGGGTCCTTGCAAACAGGGGTCAGTCGGAGCGCCGGATCTTACAGGACCTTGCAGGGCCAGGGGGGCATTGACCCAGGCTTGGCTGCAGGATCCTACAGTATCGTGCAGGATCTTGCAGGATTTTGAAAAGACCAACTGACCCTGGCCTGGATTGATCCGGGGCAGTAGATCTCCGATTCGGTTTTGTAAGAATTTCAAGATCGATGATCCATACAACCTGTACATGCACGTTGGCCTTGTAGCATGGACTTTCAAAACCAAAACAACGCGCGTTCTCTTGCCAAGTTTGATGAGAAGGATGGGTTCTTCAACGTTTTCAAATGCGACCAAGCGGACCCCTCGCGCACGCGCGTGTCGAAATCATTCGAACGCCTTTGCGCGTTTGCTGGGTGGCACGATCCCTGTCGAAGACTACCATGCGGGCCACTTGCCCACATCGGCCATGCTCGCATATCGAAATCCTTCTCATCATCTGCATCAGCAACACGTGGACACCATCAGCATCAGCAGCAGCATAAACAGTATCATCAGCATCCGCATCAGCATCAGCATCAGCATCAGCATCAGCATCATCATCATGGGCGTGACCAGCATCGGCGCCTTCATTGGCCTTGCCGTCCTCATCGTCATCATCGTCGCCATGATCGCTACTATCATGGCCGAGTCTGCCGTTGATACCGCGCCCGCCCGAGTCACCGACTCGCACTGAATCCCCCGCGCGTCAGCGCGCCCTGCTAGACGCGCTGGGGTGTCCCCAACGGTCAACGCCATCGTAGCCGCGTCGGTCGTGCCAAACTAGCTGGCCGCGCTGCGCGCGAGCCCGCGCGCTCGCGCGGCCGCAGCGGTGCGGCAGCCACGGCCAAGCATTCAGCGCAATCGCCACGCAGGGGTTCTGCAAACCGAGCTGTGGGTGGGTGGGTGGGGTGAATGCGCGAGCATTGGGGGTGTTCTGCACGGTGAGTTGCGCCACATAGGTTGCACAGCATAGATCACACACCACCTATTGTTGGAAACGCAGTGTTCAGGGCTCACGCTGGCGAGCCTGTTTTTTGTGTTTAACATTCGTCTTATTCCTCGT